ACTCTTAACTCTTTTTGCCCAGCTTGTCCAGGCCAACTCCCAGCTCCCAGCCCCAACCCTCAGCAGGGGAGCCACCCACACTATACGTATGTTGGACCCCCGCCAGGTGAACCTCCACGCCTCCCCTGAGGACAGAGCAGGACCACAGGCCCCACCCAACACATCCTGCAGCTCCACCCTCTTCATGTTATCAGAGTCAATATTTGTGGCCTGCTGGATTAGCAAGAAGTGTTTTTATACGAATGATGAAGCAAGTCTTTCAATGCCAGAGAGGCATCATATGATGCCTGCTGTGTGTGAGCAGGGCTCATCAAGAGAGGAAGACCCCTGTCGCAGCCGTCTTCCTCTCCCTCCTCTCTCTTCTAGTGGAGAACAAAATAAACTGAAAATTAAGAAATAATCTTTTAAACTAAACAACAGCCTTCATCAGGCTTCTGGGCTGGTTAAAGACTTCATGCATCAATATGAGTTTGCTCATATGACTTCAGTTAAGTTCTGTGCTCAACTGTGTAAAATCAGGTTAAACTATAACTGGATCATGACCCGCATGATCCTGATCGGGATAAACTGTTGTTCATCCATCCTTCCTTCCATCCATCCATGGTTAATACCTTGTGAACCTGTCCCACTGTCTGTCTTAGGCTGTTTGTCTGTGGGACCCATCAGCTAGTGGCAGCCTTACAGCAGTATACAGCAGTATGGCTCTATGGTCGCCTCTGTCATGCTGCCTCTGTCATGTGACCTGAGCAAGGAGCTGCATGTCACAGGCTGCAGATGCAAATGATGGGTCTCAGGTGCCGTGCGAGGAACATTTATTAGAGAAAAAACGGTAAGTAAGCCAGACTCCTGCAACCAAGAGTACATGGGGTCTTCAGTGTGGTCCTGAAACCGTCTCTGTTAACCCAACAGATAACAGGATCTATAACATTGTTTTACAGTTTAAGGTCTAGTTTACCTTCTGAATTACATACATTTACAACCAAATAAATGGAATCATATATATATAGTGATCCCTCGCTATATCGCGCCCCCGCTATATCATGGATTTTTACATTACATATTATTATTATTATTATTATTTTTATATTACTCATATCCTTAGCCCGACATCCACATATCATATGTGTTTACAAAGTGTGTTTTAATAAGCTTGCATGTGTTTAAAGTATGTGGGAGTGGTATTTTAAGGCTTAAACTATAAAAAAAAATGTTTATTTATATGGTCTATATCGCGGATTTTCACCTATCGCTGATGGGTCTGGAACGTAACTTCCGCGATGGGCGGGGGATCACTGTAAACAAAACCATAGCAATATGAAAAATGAAAAGATGATAAATGTTAAATAAAAATGACTGACTTCATCACTATAAACATTCTCAGGAGTCGTCAGCAAGGTAATAGATTAAAATGACATAGAAAGCCACCCGCCGTCCCTGCCCTCTCCCCCTACTACTAACGTGAAACTTCCTGAGTGGTATGGGAGAGGCTCTGCATTTGCTTGCTCAAATCAAGATTGTTAACAAGGTTGCTGTGCCCATATACAGGGAATTGCAGCAACAGGCAGACAGGGGGCGCCCCACTGTCATATGCACTAGACAAGTTCATGCTGGCTGTTGACAGTTTAAAAAAAAAAGCCGACAGGCGCACACACATTCTCCCTCTGCTTCTCTGCCGTCACACCTCCGCCCTCAGATCAGCTCATCAGAATGAAAGTGGAAGTTCTGCAAAGAGAGCAGATGCAAAGATGAAATGGCCAGTCAGGGCAGTGCTGCAGTGATTGTCAGCACGAAAGCTGGGCCAAGTTAACATCACATAAATAATCCAGCTGTGTTCTTAGCAATGGGGAGGCCATAGGAGGCCAGTGCACGTGAGCCCAGCCAGGGTGAGACAGTACCTATTTGGGGGAGGTGTTGACGTAGTCTGTGCTGCCATTCCCATCACTCTCCATGCTCTCTTGGGACTTGCCTGTGAGGAAGCAGAACTCATGGTGAGGGACCCCCCAGGGTGCTGCCCACTGTGGATGCACACTTACTGGAAGAAGCAGTGTTTCTGCAGAAAAGCGGCCACCCACACTCACTGCAGGCAGTGAATACCTCAGCGTGCTGCACATACACATATGGCATTTCACTACCACAAACTGAAACTTCTCACAGAAAGATCTCTGACTGAAACTGCTGCCTGTTTGTTTGTGCCATGTGCTCAGGATCCAAAAAATCATACAAATTTCAGAGATTCCCCACTATTTCCATAGTAACACCCTCCCTCCAAGTAAGAAATGGCCTGACCTGATGTTAGACCCCCTTTCTCATGTTCCGGCATGTTGATATAGTTCTCACTGTCTGGGAATACAAATGGACAGTTAATCACTGTAGCACAAGGGCAGTATTTTACCTGATCAGTACTGTTCCTGTAGGGTTAGGGTTAGTGATAAGCTTGCTATTGTCCCACTATAGATGTCACACCTGATATACTTCAATATACAGTAATAGAATGCAGTAATCAACCTGAATGAACTCCCCATTTATACAAGTGAACGGACTACTGACTGACTGAAAGACACACAGATAATTTGTCTCTTACCAGATTCTTGTTCTACATTCACGTAAATTTCATCATTGCCTTAAAGAAAGGAGACAAATGTTATCGACTGAGCCAGTAGTTAGCAGAGCCCTGAAACAGCACTGGGCCATGGGGTGTTTCTCATAGTACCTGAAGACAGGCTGGGCTGAGACCCGTCCTTTGGCTTGCTGGGTATGTCATCCGGTAGGACCTCTCTGCAAAGAGCAACCACACACAGTGACGAACAACACTCCCACTCCATTATACAGCCAACTACCCGATTCAATCCGACAACCTTCTGAATATCGGTACAGAGACCTAAGCCACAGAGCCACACTCCCCCTATAATATGGAGCATGTGACCTTTAATCTCCATTCTCAGCCTCTGACTCAGTGCTCTCATACTTCAAGGCCTGTCTGACTTCCTGGATGACTAACATGACCACAAAGTCAGTCATCCCAGGACAAGCACAACTTATCACCTCATCAGAAAGATTTCAACTGAGTTCTGTCCTTGTTTTTCACTCATTTTTTAATAATTTCTGTCCATGGACAACGATGTGGATGCAAACTCACATGTAACCTTGTTTGTCGCCGTCAACATCGTGGTCGCCGTCACTGTCTTGGTTGACGTAGCTATCATCTGGTAGCACAGAGAAAAGCAACATTGTTTCCACTTTATATACACCCCAGACAGGACTTCATTTGGATTCAGTTTAGCCTAACATGAGTCCATACGCAGTTCCAGCTCTCAGTTTAAGCACTTACTTTGTCCTGACCTACTAATCTGATTCCCGTAGCTCGCATTGGGACTGAGGAACAACACATGAATTCATTCCCTGGAAGCCAATGTGCAGTAAATGCAGTAACAACAGGAAACAGCATTACACTGGTTAAGAAGAGCTGAAACTGAGTGAAGAAGAAAGGAGTGCAGGGGAGTGAGAATGACACCCCTGTACAAAGATGAAAAACAGCTCACCATCATCTTCAGTTGGAGTGTATGAGGGTCGGCGCTCTGGCTCCTGCCACGGGGATCTGAGGGAGGAGGGAGCTGGGGTCCTAGGGGGGTCAGAGTACAGTTCAGCTTCATGGTGGCTCAGGAGCTGCTGTCCATCCATCCACCTTCCATACTATTTATCTCTCTTTGGTTCTTAACTGAGCCTCAGGGTTGCATTACGCAAACATTTCTGACAGTTTTGACTATGGGGGACTACATCTGTTTGTTGGAGAGATTTCAGTTTACATGCAGGTGTGTGATTCTCGCTTCGGTCTGTTCACCTGTTGTGAATATAGTTTAATAAACTAAAGATTTTCTGTTAGTTTGGCTAGAACAGCTTTCTCACACATGGTGTCAGAGCTGGGATTAATCCCTACGGCCACTTCCGTATTCTGTCTGTTTGACATCTTTAAAGAACAAAGACACAGATTCCAGTTTGGAGCCCTGACAGGGCAGCCCGGCATGGAAGGTAGCTGAGGCTGTGTGCAGTGACGGAGGAGACCCACAAGGAAATCGCAGGGTTGGAAACACCGGGTCTGGGCACATGGGTGTACCTACTGGTGACGACTGTAGCTGTAATAGCAAGAAACTGTATTATTCACAGCAAAAACATTCATTGTCTAACTTACCCTTAGCAGGGTTTACATGCATAGACGATAGTCCACCAGGGGGCATTGTGAGAAAACCTTCTTGGTCGGCTCCTTCGTTTCCGGTGTCACTTGTTTGTATGAGGATGTGGCAGGAAATGTTGTACACTCACCTGCAAATTTTGTAACATGGCTGCACCATTCTCTATATTCTACCCACTGCTCTACATAGTATTGGTACTTTGCTCTGCCACGTATCATTGTACTACAATGCATGTTGCATTGTATATTGTTAGATATGTTGTAGTAGTTAGTATTTTGTAATTAGGCTGCCCGATATTGGAAAAAAACTCAATTCTGCATCAATCGTTGTATTAATTGCAGTACAGTGGTACCTCAGTTCTCAAACTCATTAGAACCAACCAGTTAGAAAAAAAATGACCTAGAAATCGATCTGAATCTCAGAAGTCGAACTGTGATCGCCGACCTAAGATAACTTGTATGCGCGGGCAAATGAGTCAAGCGGCACGTCTCTCAGCGAAAACAAAGGATAACGCTTCAGTCTCAGCCTCGCATTCGCTGTGATAGCATCGTTTGTTGGTGATAGTGCACATCAGGTAATACACTGTACTTTATATCATTTTGGTAGCCATTGCTCACCAAAAAGTTACGCAATAGTTGTACAAATGTTACAACCTAAAAGTTTGCGATATACGAATAAATTAATGAATATAGAGTAATAATAAAAATAAACAATGGACCGCATGGCATAGTCTAGTGTTGGCACAGTGTTGGGGCATGGTTTGGGGTTGTCACGATCTGCTGAGCTGGGACCGGGGAAGCAGGGACAGGACTCAAGCCATGGGGAAACACGGGGTTTAATTGAGAACAGGCAGAACAACACAATGACGTTACAATGAACGGACTGGGAAAAGAAACTGAAATGCGGACTAAATACAGAGGACTAATGAGAACAACCAGAAACAGCTGATCACACGGGGATCCCACACGAGGTTAATGAGGGGGCGTGGCACACGGAAGGAGAGGACGACAGGACAGGGGTAAAGTTGGGGTACATTCTTTATCGTTTTGGAAGCCATTAAGAAAAAAAATGGTCTTCTTGTTTTATCCTGTTCACATTGTGTTTAAATGCTAAAAAAAAAACATATTTAGGTGTAATTTTTTGGGGCCGGGAACCAATTAACTGGTTTTCCATTATTTTTTATGGGGAAAATTTGATCAGAACTCGAACTTTTTAGGATTCTAACCTGAGTTCTGAACGGATTAAGTTCAAGTTCTGATGTACCACTGTATTTATTTTTTAAAAATTAATTCAAAAATCAATTTGTTGTAGTTATACATATACTAGATAATCCTGAAAATTAACGGTCATTAAAATTGCACAGCTTGCTAAGATTTGTTTGACAATATAAATGCTCTAGAGGAACGTAAACCCCACACTCTTGGTGAATTTTATCATCAAGATTTATAAATAAATAAATTTATAAACATTGCTTATGAGAGAAGGCAAGTAAGAATTTCAAGTTAGAGTTTCATTGTACTTTGTAAACACTGTGCTTTTGTGGAAACTTAAACTGCCATTTAATTTTGAAGACGCTGTACACAGATGGACACAATAGTGCTCACAATATTTTCTCTTTTGCCTCTGAAAATATACAGTTCCCGGCCATTCAATTTTATACTATCTACCATATACACATAGTCCCGGGACAAAAGGTGACCATACTGCCGCCCCAACTTTTGGTGTTAGTGCAACTCGTGCATGTGCCAAGTTAATTCCTCACGTAGATACACAAACAACACATGGGATCAGCACAGAAAATGCGTGGCGGCCATGATGTACACACATACATGATGTAAGGGTTGAGTATAAATGGTCCTGGGGGGGGAGTTAAGATGATTTCAAAGGTCCCTGACTGACAGGAAACCTAAAACTTCTGGAAGATAAGTGCTGGTCTGGGCTGGAGAACCTATATGATAAGATTTCATGGGACTCAAAAATCTCTGGCAGCATCCCTGGCTTAGATAAACTGTTGCATGGGAACACAGCAGATGCATTTTCACAATGAAGCTTCACCCAAACCCAGGCAGTGTGAAGCTCAGCCTGTTTAAAGGAGCCATGTTAACACTTACGCATCGGCCTCACAACTCTGAAGTCTCCAGGATTGTACCTGAAAGAACAGAGAACAAGGCAGATGTGTTATTGAAATACAGTAGAACCTCGGAACGCAAAAGGCTCTTAGCTTGACCAACTCAGATGTGTCTTTTTTTTTTTTTTACTTATTTTACTTCTCCCTCAATGGAAATCTTGGAACTCGACTGTTCCTGCTAAAACTGCATGGGTCGAGAAATGTTCAGCTCTACCAATTCGGACCTCAAATGGGTGGGTCAAGAAAAATTAAGCCTCAACTCGACCGAAAACTTGTAAAATGGCAAAACGACACATTTCCCATTCCAAACAATAACCCCTCCATTCCTCCTCCTGTCCACCTGCCACTGCCAGTATCCTATCAGTTCACCTCAATACAGGTGAAGTCCTCATAAATTGTCATTTATTTCATGTTTATTCCTTTGTATGTGTGCTTTTCCGTATGTGTATCATTTTATATTGATTGATAATGCTTTTTATCATTAGTTAGGTAAGTAGATAGGTTTAAAGAGGCAATCATTATATTATTTCTCATGGGGAAATTTGACTTGGACCTCGACCAAATCGCAACTGAACCAGCCTTCTGGAATGAATTAAGTTCATGTTCCATGGTACCACTGAATATCAGCTAAAGGGCCAGCTGATCCCTTCTGGTTCCTCCTAAGTGTCCAGAGGGGGCTGCAGAAGCTCACAACTTACACTTCATTTGGATGATCGTCTTGTATGAACTGGTGAATAGAAGCTGCAAAAAAGGGAAAGATGCAACACAAGAATCAGTCAAGTCATCAGGGCAAAGCCCTTTATATTTTTGGTATTGTCTTATCAATTCTGTTGCCATGACGACAGGGTTTGGATCTCAGAAAGCAGTGTTTTTTTATTAAGATTTTTAACAGGTTTGAAGCTGATTCGGATGCCAGGGTACTTACTCTGCCTCCATGATTGTCCACAGCTGACGCAAAAGCTGAGCAGCAGTCCCAGACACACCAGCAGAAGCGCTCCATTCAGTAAGGAGCTGAGGACCACTGTATCCATGGCTACAGAGGAGAGGTGACAGGTGGCATGGAGGGTCAATACCCCTCAGGCCGAGCACAGGATGAAGGAAACACCAGGCTTTGTGTTGCAGTGACCTTTGTCCCTCCCCCAGAGCAGCACATTCTGACTCCTTTTTTTGTTTTTATAGAATTATTTCCAAGCAGATCAGTCTCATATATTCTTTCTCTTTTTCTCTTAACTTTTTCCGTGGTTGAGTTCACCTCTGAATTGTCAGGAAGCGGATTTCCTGTGTTCTACAGTGAAACTAATCCAGCCGCCATCTCTCCAGTGGCAATGCTAAGGCCCGATTCTCCTGAGAAACCCGTATTCTAAACATTTTGAAAAAACACACTTAGGTTTCGCCCTGAAAGTGGGTCCCGCCGTGAGGTGAAATTCACCAAAGTAAGCAGAAACAAAGGGGTGGAGCTACCATTTGAGGTCGTTCACCCACCCTGCCCTGATGCAGCGATAAAGCCGGATGCTCGGAAATGGCCGTCAGAGACGGGCTTTGAACTCCATTGTCTCAGCTCTCTAGTAGGAACCTGGGCTGATACCATTAATGTTTATGATGAACATTTCGCTTCAGACGCTCCCAACATACAGTCTGTATAAGCAAAGGCAGACAGCAGCAGGCGTGGGGCTCCAGCACAAATGGCGCTCGGCTGCCCTGTGCATAGGTCACCTCACCTTCACAGAACGCCAGGAGGAGCGACTCCTGTCAGCATTCACCCAAAGCCCGAGTGCGCATCACTAACTAGTTAGAAGAAATTACCAGACTTCAACAGGTGAAATAGGAAGCGAGAGCAGAGCATCAGGACAGAGAGGGAATCGACGGACCCACCTGGACACTTCAGATTCACACCAAGGACCAACGTAGCTCTTGCACACAGAGTTATAAGGGCTTCACATACACACATGCTGACAGAGGACCGACCACCAGAGCTGAATGCCTGACCCTGTACCCCCTTACTCAAGGAGATACCAAAGCACTAGCCAGCACTGATGAGACATGCGGGAAAAGTGGCTGAACTTCCAAACTCCGCACTTACCAGATGTGAAGCAGACGGGAGGGAAAGAGAGGCCAGTAGCAGCATGAGAGGGAGCGGAGGAGCCTGTGGATGCAGCAAGAATCCACAACCTGGAGCCCCAGAGCAACCTCACATAGCATATGAACTGAACCTTTGTCTCTGTCAGCACCGGATGGGCGCCATCTTTGATCTGATCTAGAGCCCCGTTGAGAGTTATCTTCACGTTCTGTCGTATGTTCTTCTCTCAAACCTGTGGTCTTCTGTCACATCTGTACATTCGCTCTTCTCTTCTTTCTTCCTCACTCCCAGCCTCTTGTCCTGTCTGCCTTCACCAGCCGCTCTCGTGCTCAGATCACCACCCTCCCCCTCACCTTCTTGAGGACTGACTTTACCCCTCCCTCAGAGAGGCCCATCTCTCCTCCCCTCACCTGCTCCACACTCTATGATGCAACAGGATGGAGCCCAAAGACACACCAACATGAACATGTCCTGCCAGGCTGGAAGCTTTGGCTGTAATCTGTTTATTCATTAGGATGTCAGGGTGTCTTTTTGAGTGGCGGTCCTTTACGTTGGAGTCTCATTTACATCCTGCTTGAGAGATTTTCAGCTCATGCTCTGTTTTGTCCATCTATATTTCCAACCCTGAATGCAATTCCCCTGATTCAGAAGCGTTGTAGGGCCTGGTGTGCGATCAGCCTACATCAGGATGGGTTTGATGGAGACAAACCCAGAGGACCAGCCAAATTCACTCATTAACTCTATCACACATACATACACACCCACTGCAGGTCTGTTTCTCACCATCCCACAAACAGGAAGCCAGAAAACGCTTCAGGAAGTGATCCGTTATACTTCAAAGAGAAGAGACAGGAAGTGTGTGAAGAGAAGAGCGCTGAGCAGGTGGGGGCAGCAGAGGGATGGAGGGTAGCAGACAGAGGCAGGGAAACACGGCGCCCCCCTCCAGCAGGCAGCAGTAACTGAATGCAGATGTTTAATTTCAGTCACCAGTAGCCTTTCTAACAGGCCCTGTCATTTGAACTATTACTGGCTTTAAAATTACTGACACATTGTTAGAGTGCAAAATGACAGCCCCCATAAGAAATCCCCCAGACAATAAATTCATACTCCATAAAAATGCAAACAGTCCGTCGAGAATCAAGAATGTGATGAAAGCCATCAAACAAGCAGGGGACTGGGGTTACGACTGATGACAGGGAGCATTTTTTAAGGTCTGGCGTCCTGGCGGAGCAGCCATGTCATCCTGCTCGAATGGGCCGACAATATCAGGGAGAGAAAACAACCTGGACAGACACGTTAACACTGCTAATTGGTGAAATTATGACAGCTAAAAACTGCACTGGTATAATTTTCAAGAGCTTCAGGAAGCATTTTATGATAAACATGGGTATTAGGCTGTCCAGTACCAATCACAGAAAAGTCTTAATAAGTAAAAAATATAATAAATTATCACGAAGTTCAGAAGAGTATAAAAACCTTAACGTGCCACATAAACTGGGAATATAGACGTGAGTATGATGGCAGTTTTAACCTAGAGGCACGTCATTCTGATGAGGACCCTCAGCCCAGTAGGTGGCGTACAGGAGGTGTCTCACCACTGGAGCGAAGCCGCTGCACAGACACCTGCCAAATGCTGTGTAGCAGCCTGAAGCCACACCGATGACATCAGCACCTGTGTACGATTAGTATCTGACCGTAACAGAGTCCTGCAGAAAGTGTCACATCATGATCATCACCGGGCTGCTGACCACCATCACTAGGGGGCGCCCCACCTCAATCTAAAGTCCTTTCAATGTGGGCGTAATAATAAGTTTGTACACCAGTCCGAGATTCAGGCAAATTGAAAGTTCTTCAGGCTTCCAACAACATCTGCAAGCCTAGCTTTAAGCCTTCACTTCTCACTTATCCGAGGTAATGGGTGTTTTATGATAAAGTTTTATGGAAAATACGACCATTAAATACATTTTGCCTGTTGCTGCTTTACTTGCTCCTGAAAACAGGTCAATGAATACAAACAAAAATCACAACGATAAGAAATGGCCTGAAACAGTTTGGCTGAACAGAAAAAAGTCCAATTAATTTGTGGTGTGTGTGGTCCCCGTCCTCGCTGTCGTTTTACTTTGCGTTTCGGAGACGTACTCGTGCCTTTGTGTCCCGGCCCTGCGTGCCCCCCAGCCTGTGCCAATCGCTCTGAGTCCGCAGGCCCGAGTGCCGGACACCTGGCCGCCCGCTCCGTGCCTGCGTTTCATCCTCACGCTGAGATTTCCTTGTGCCTTTTCCCCTCTCCGTCTCTCTCTCTCTTTCTCTGTGTTGGGACCGTGTGTTCAGGGGGACACTGTCGTCCTCTCTGTGTGATTAGAGCTTCAGGTACTACATTGACTTCTAATTATATAAAATATGATATAATATAATTATACTGAAATAGCTGGCCTCCGTGTGCTGTTTATGAGTGTGTGAGTATGTCTTGGTGTGTGTTAACGACCCATCAGCCCTATTAGCTTATTCTGGGTTACAGCATTTTTAGTGGCCATAGTGATAATAGTTACTACAGTAATTATTGATGTTATTCAGTGGGGTGGGGGGGGGGGCAGTGATAATATGGCAGGAAGAGGGGGCCTGATTTGACTGAGCGGACACCACACAGCCGCTAACCTTACAGGAAACCAGGCGTTCGGTCCGTTCCGGGTGCAGATGGAGATGAATTTGTTCATTCTGGACGGCATGGTGACTCACACCTCCAGGATTAGTGGTTCCCACTGCTGCACCGTGTGTGAGAAATTTGCATATTCTTGCTGTATCCTGCACGTTTCCTCACACAATCCAAAGCTGTAATCAGGCTGATTGGTGTGTGTATGTATGTAAGGTGTTATCGGCCTTATGTTGCCTAGGATAAGCAGTTAGAAGATGAATCGATAGTTAAGTCTGAAGATGCCATATCAGTTTGTGTGTGAACGAAGGTGACTGTCGGGGGTGATTCTAGGATTTGACCCTTAGGGGCAGGGGTGCTGCTAGAGATTTCGGGCCCCATGAAAGCATCTCAAATTGGGCCCTCAACCCAGATCAATACAATTATGTTTCAGATTTCTTTTGGACTCGTCCTATCTTTACTGCACCCTTGTCAGGGGGGTTCAGCCCTTCAAGAAATACAGGATAATTAAATTTGCCGAGTTGGGAGGGGGGGGGGTTGATAATACAGTCATGGCCAAAAGTTTTGGCAGTGACACAAATTTTGTGCAGCTTTGCTTGCATTTTTAGATCATTTTTATATTGTGAAAAACAATTGCCTACTTTTTGGTCAATTAGTCACATAACATGATTTGATATTGGTTGTTTATGTTATTTTGGGTAATAAAACTCTGTTTCTTTGTTAATGCTTCTGTGTCCTCCTGACTCTTCTGCTTGGTCCCCTAACAGTATAGTTCACTACAGTACTTCATTTTTCAGATGTCAGAAGGGGGCTTCATCAGAGAAAATAACTTTGCACCAGTCTTCTGAAGTACAAGGATTGGACAGCAGAATACCGGTGCAAAGTTATTTTCTCAGATGAAGCCCCCTTCCTACATCTGAAAAATTGACTGTCTGGAGAAGAAAAGGTGACTAATCCCTTAATCCCAGGGGTCATCTATCAGCATACAATACACAATCAGAAAAGGAATGTTGGTTATGCGGATGGATGGTTCTCTTGGTGTCTGAGTGGGTGACTGAGAGGTCATGTGCAGCAGACCTGTCATCCATGGTCTGGTAGAACCTATTCAGACCAACGCCGTGGGCAGTGGTGGCTTAATTGTTAGGGAAGTGCACTTGTAATTAAATGATTGCTGGTTTGAATCCCTGACCAGCAAGGCAACACTGAGGTACCCTAAGCAAGGTACCGCCCCCAAGTGCTGAATTAGCTGCCCCCTGCTATGTCATGATGTCACATATGAGTTAAATGCAGAGGATACGTTTTGTTGTTGAGCACTTTGGGCTGTGGTGTATCAACACTGATCTCTAAAAAAATTAAATGCATTTCATTCAAGGTCTAAATCAGTGTGTGGTGATTCAGATGGTTGAACAACCTTCCCTGGCCAGGCCATTTCAGAGGGTCACGCCTACAGCATGTGTTGGGGATTTCAGTTGCCAAAAAGAGTGGTGATTACTGGTTGGTGCCTGAGCGCTTATGTGTGTGGACCAGGTATGCATTACATTGTGGGGACCAAATGTCTCTACAATGTGATAAAAACCTGTTGTTTTGACTCTGTGGGGACCATTTTTTCAGTCCCCACAATTTTAGAAAAATCTGTTGCTGCAGATTTAACTTAAAAATGCCAAAAGACTTGTAATCTGTTTGGTTACGTATGGTTTAGGATACAGCTGGGTAGGTAAGGTTGTCATTGTAGGGATTAGGGTTTTGCCCGTGGAAATTAATGGATGGTCCCCCACAAAGATATGAGTATAGGACTGTGTGTGAATGCATGTGTGTGTGTGAGAGAGAGACTTTTACAGGTGTTTGAAAGCATGTACAGCAATGGCAGAATATTGCATTTCCTTACAGGTGTGCTGAGCCCATATCTCTTCCTTTCTCTCTTCCACGTCTTCGGTCTTGTGCCCAAGTATAACCTGGCTGATGTGCTCCCCCTAGTGATGCAAAGTGGCTCTACAACACTAACCTTCAGGTGTCACTCTGTACCATAAAACCAAAGTTATATCCATGCTGTCCAATGACCAGAGGCTGCCTTTGAGTTCGATTAGCCTATGATCATCCACATTCACATAGTTGAATAGCGTCATTTGACATGAGGAAGCATTCCCATGGGATGGCAGTGTGTCCAGTTGCTGTGGGAACCAGGCTGTAGCTCACAGTGTTCTCTATAGCCAGTTACATTAACAGGCACTACTTGACTGTGGACACGGTGGTCCAGCTGTGCGAGGGAGAGGGTGCTGTTGGGCAACTAATACCATTACCCACTAATACCATTGTTTTGAGTCTGCTGACCTGGCAACCTTTTAGGATGTGGACCTGAACTACAGTATGGGAGGTACCATGGGGAACATGGATAAATGCACAGGGCAGCCAACAGGGGGCATAGCAGCTGGGACAGGGGGGGGTATTCTGGTCTGGGTATGGGGGAGGGGGAGGTATTCTGCTTGTGCTCTGTTTATGTTAACTCCTGTTCTCTCTCCCATTTCAGATGCCTTCACAGATACAGTGATGAGTGGATTCCAGTAGATGGTGAGCACAGAGAGAAGGATCTGGAGTTTTGGGACAATGTGGACATCAGCAGCTTGAGAGAGATGTCAGCTGGAGGCCAATGGACTGAGTGCAGCCACCCTGCCACGTGGTCCGTGTTGACACACGAGAAGACAGAAGAAGAGAAGTACTACAACATGTCAATGAGCAGCAGGTCTGTGCA